ACCTTAAGTCCTTTGCATCTGTGTGGAATGTTCATCTACATGGCAATCCCTCACTGAATTTATGTCTCTGGCCAGATATCATCGTAGTATAGTGGCCTTCCACGAGCAAAAGAGACCATCCTGACCTTCACGAGGTCTCTCTCTATTCTCTTTATATTGCTTAATTTTTTTCTAAGCCAAGTATGACCATCTATCCTATGTTTAATATACTCCTTTCCAGAGAATCTAGACAGATGTATTCAAGACTCCTGGGAAAATTAGTTTGAAATCTTTAGACTGAAGAATACTATCAGAACTCTTTGAACTTCGATTGCTGTAGACTCACTAAAAGGAATGTGTTTGATATTCTAGAAACTGTTGAACTTCAAGGACATATCTGTGGACTTCACCCAAGAGGAGTGGAAACAGCTGGCCCCTGCTCACCGGAACCTGTACCGGGAAGTGATGCTGGAGAATTTCAGGAACTTGGTGTCAGTTGGTAAGGATGGCCATACATATATTCAGACACCTAAATTTGTAAGAATGTCAGAATTTCAAAGTTACTTATGTTGTGGATTACTAATCCTAGAAATATCTTGTTCTTTTGAAAACAAAACCAGGGTATTTCATTCTCCTTCCGTGGGGAACAGCTAGTTTATAGAGCAAAAATAAAAGGATATGCCCCTTTCTGTTTTCAGAGCTTCTACCACAAGCTGGAAGTACATCCTGGAGGTGTTTTTTAGACATCAACAAAACATTCATCTGTTTTTTCTTTGACTCCATAAGCAGGATATCCGCTCTCCAAGCCTAGTGTGATCTCACAGTTGGAGAAAGGAGAAGAGCCATGGATGACAGCAAAAGAAGATCTAGGAAATCACAATGCAGGTGAGACAGAGGCAGATGGTACCTTTTAGTGTGTGGACCAGAGTGCTCAGAGTCTTCTTACGTTGTGGGAAATGCTCAGGTCACCAGATAGAGCTTGCAGTACACCTGAGAGCTACTTTGTAATGGTATCTCCCTATGTTGCCCCTTTTTTTTCACTGAGCTCTCTTTAAAAAGTCTTCTTGGAATTGGAGTTAAGAGAAGAGAATTCAGACTTAGGAATAACACAGAGATATTTGTGACAATAAAAGGAAAAGCATCTCTTTTCTCATCCTACTTCTCAGCTCCCATGCTTCTCT